GATGGTGGAAAATGAAGTGTTCAGTTGTCTCCATCTTGATGCAGGTTTCATCCCTAATTTACATTCAAATACAGTGCCTGAAACCAATCTTTGTGTACCATCAGAGTTTGCATAATGATTAAACAAATCCTAATGCAGTGCAACAGATTTCAACTAGGGGATCACCCAAAACTGATGAATCTAGGACTGCCCAAGTCCTTTTCTCCAAAAATTGGGAGTTGGGATGAGCTTTGTGCAACCTTCCAAGTGTAGGGCTCATAGTTTACTGGGATTTTTTCCTTGTTTTAACATGTTGAGTTTTCAAAAACTTCTGCTCGCTCCTTGACCTTGCCGCAGCAACATGATGAGAATAACACCCTCAACCGCTTAGGGCTAGACTTCTCTGACTGTTAAAAGTGCATTTTTCTTGCTTATGATAATCCTCAACCTCATCAAGAATTCCGGTTCATCATCATCTTTTCTCAAAGGTCAAGAACAAATACAACCACTCAAGATTGAAACTTATCCGCTTCAAGCTATAAAGTAAAGTTGTCCAACACTCAACTTCACTTCACTCAAATCTGACTCCGCAATATCTCTTCCTTCAAGTCTAAATCTAGAACTGTCAAGACAGGACTCTGGTTCTCTATCTTTATCCACTCTGCGTTTCTCAACGTACTGTTTGTTGAATCTATTTCTCTTCTGTCTCTTTCTGTTGTTTCAATCTCTCTTTCTTTCTGTTCTTTCTTTTGTTGTTTGATGAGAAAAGAACTCATTGCCAATGTTGATTTCTTGTCTTTCTTTTTTTCTTTCTCAGTTCATTCCACTCAACTTCTATTGCTTTGCTTCTTCCTCATCTAAGTCCTCAACTCTTCTTCAATCTGTCATCTCGCTGGTGGTAGGACTTTGTCTCCTTCTTTTTTTCTTGTCTGATTGTTATCTTTTCTTCATGTCTGACTTTTATTTCTTTCTCAGTCTGGTTTTGGTTTTTCAGCAATTCATTTGTAATTTCTTCATAACACATATAACAAGGTTTTTTCATATGATCACATGTGGGATTATATGAAATATTGTGCCAATTAACACCTAGAAGAACACCAATTGCTCAAGGGGAGCACAACACTAATGACTCTCTCACTTCTGATTCACATCTCTAAACCATCTTGAAATCTCTAGATACTATAGTCAGTCTGTTCTCCAATCTGATTTGTATGTATAGTGCACCCCCTTGTAGTCAAAGAACCCTAGGGAGTAGCCGAATATCAACTCTCTTATTTGGGATTCACATTCTTCTATGAGTTATCCATAATTAATTTTTCATTATACTACTCAACCACTTTCTGATCATCTTGTATGTAGACTATTTATAAAAGCTAGTTACAAAAAATCAACGCACATTGGGATAGGCAAGTATTTCTGGGCCATTTCAGCCAGTTTTGACTCAAGAAAGAAAACAATTCACCACAATCCGAGGGGCTTTGGGGAAAACTCTGATTTCCTGTTTTGTTTTTTTTTTCCTTGGGGCTCAAAAAACACTATAGAAAAACTCCTGTGCAAAAAGGCTCTTCTCCAGGTTGTACACCACGGGTTGATATTTTTTATTCAACCGCGTTGGCTTGACTGCGCAGTCGCAGACAGGTTGGCACTGACTTGTCTGCCCTGAGAATCACAGCTCAGTTGGGATGTGGTGGGGGATTGGACAGGCCTATGCTGGCCCAACCCACCCGATCCATCGGTCGGCCCAACCCTGCCGACATGTTTTGTTGACAGGCTTGGTGAATCATTGGTTGGGCATTGATGACCCAACTGACACAGTGTGGCACTGATGGTTGGCCCAACGGTGTCAACAAGTTCAGCCCCCATCGAGCCAACCAACATCTTCTTAGCAAATCACACTCTCCAAAGAAGTGTGATGGCCTCCTTCCCCATAGAGAAAAGGCTACACAGATGGGGAATTACAAAAAAAGAGACTTTGAAACAAAAACAAAAAAATCTCAGACGGCTTGACAAACTTGAGATTGATTGGTTTGAATTCTTCAAGAACGGGGATTAGGGTTGACGGCGCCATAGGGTGGGGCGCGCCAAAGTGCGCCCGCCCCCCGTGCGCGCACCCGGGTCCCCAAAGATCCTGAAAATGGGGTTTGGCGCGCACCTGACTTTTAACTCTACAAGGACCCCTGAGATATCTTGGACCGGTGTGGTAATTAAATATGTGAAAATTTCAAAGTGTTTTTCTTTATATACATTTTTCTCATATATTCTTTCAGAAATCCACCAATACAACTTCAGAAATGGACTCTACAGACAATTTCAGCCTAGGTTACCACTGGACGCATCATTGGAACACTCACGGATTGGAAGTTACACCCCTACGGACGCATATCACAAGGCCAACACCCAGTCAAGCACATGTCACAACTCTCAAATCACCTCTCAGTTATGCTTATACACAGCTCACTGTATACACATAATTTCCCACACCTCTTTATCTCCACCACATAAATTAGTTTAGTATTATTTGTCACCTCATGCACTGCCTTTGCAGGCTGTGCAGTCTTGATTGAATTACTTTTCCCACAGTTTATTAATTTTCTCACCTCACTTATGACAATAGCTGGATTTTTCCCACAATTGATTGCCTCATTTGACCCTTTCTCACATTATTTACGCACTGCAGCACAGCCTTTGACATTAATTGTACACAGCCTCACTGGTTAATTTCCCTCACTTGCATGATCAGACTAGCTAAATCCACTCATTAGGGGGTATCAAATATGAAGAATTTGAAAAGTTAAAACTCCATTTTATCCTAAAATACTGAACAATTTTTCATGAAGGTATTATTCAAAGGAGAAGTTTCATATGATGTATCTTTATCATTACACTTCATCTGGATACATACATTGGTTCAGGAGAAAATGATGTTTTAAGATTTAAAAATTTTCACATTTGATACCCCCTATTTGTACCTACAGGCCAGCTAAAATCACTCTTTCTTGTCTGCCCTGGAGCTAAATTCCCTCAAATTTGTCTATAAAAAGGAGGCTCTCTTCCCCCCATTTGTTGTCTCCTCAGTTCATTCACACAGTTCAGAGTTCATTCAGTCAGTTCATCACTCAGCAGTCAATCAATATACAACTCACCAGTTAAAAACAATTATATAAGCCTTTCACCTGTTACACAACATAACAGTTTCTTTTATAAGCAATTATATATTCAACCTTTACTTTTCATAAAACAAAGTTTATACCGGAACCAACCAGTCCTATCACGCTATTGAAACTTTACAAGCTAAGCTTGGGGGTCTTGTTTCTGATAGTATAGAAGGGCAGAGTTTGCACCTCCATTTTTCCCCTTCTCAATTCAGCAAAAGGGTTTCACAACCACTTTTGAGTCTTACACCGGATCCAACCGGATCACATCGGATTCAATTTTTTATGGATTTGAAATTTCCGATCTCAGTCTCTCACCACTTGGAATTATGCAGTTATGGCCTCTGACACAAGTAGAGATGGTCGCGGATAATCCGCTGCGGATATCCGTTATCCGCTGGCGGATACCCGCTGGTCCCAGCGGATACCCGCCAGGGGGTGCGGATTCGGCTGCGGATGGCCGTTTCCCCCCCCAAACCTGGCGGATATCCGGGTATCCCAAGGGATACCCGGAGCCAATGGCCGGCTGGAAGGGTTTCCTTCCAGCCGGCGAGGTTCTTCCAACCGGCGAGGCACAT